AAGACTCCTTCATTGGGGGGAGCTCCCACTCCAAAACTAATCCAAATTGAACAGCACCGACAGCTACCATCAATTATGAACAGTGGCACATACAGAGAGAAAAATTGTTGTTATAGGAATATATCTGAAAATGCTTCTATTGATATAAATGCAATAAGACTTTTCTCCCCGTGTAAAAATTCCAGGCCACGGAGGCGCCAAAAGTTCGCTGTGCCCCCACTGTGCGCGACATTTGCTTTCGACTCGCAGGGCTGGGGCTTAGGGGAATTTATTAATTAGTTTTGTGTGTTTTTTCGACTCTAAATTCCTTTCTCAAAGCTGCCTGGCCTAATCTCTTTCGATTTATTTGTTTCAAGTTCTAATTTATCTCCGGCTTCGTGTATGTCTGTGCTCGCCCGGGTTCGTTGGGTGTGTGGCCGGCCACACCTAAGGTATCCAGCAGATACTGAGATACCCAGATACTCGGGGCAAATAATAATGTGTGCTAGCTGGCAAAACTTGTCAGGCAATTGTATAAACGTCCACTTATCTGATTGCAATCCGAGGCTGAGGTTCCCGAGCCCGTGCCCGTTGCCCTTCCCTGTGACGCATCTTGTGGATACAGATACACACATCTTGTGGATACATCAGACGACCGGGCACGTTTCGTAATCAACATTTTGACACAATAAGCGCCCCTTTTTTTCGGGGCCACCAGACGACGACTCGGGTGTAATTACAACACGTATTATGCGTAATATTCACAGCATAAAATGTAAATGGGGCAGGGAAATGGTGCCGAAGGATGGTCTCCACTGGAATGGGGCATCAATCAAGTCGGCCCCGATGATGGTGATGTTAATGCTGCATGCCACTTGGCTCTGGATATGGATGTACTCTGGATGTGGATTTATATCGGTCTGTGGGTGCGTGGGAATTCGATTCGCCCGCTTTCGATGCGGTTCATCAATGAAATTTCCCAGGGCAAGGCGGCCCCTTTCACCCTTTATATTAGGTTCAGTTAATCCCACACTGAGTCGTAAAATAATAGAGGGAAAGAGGAGTTGCACACATTGGGTCTACTTACAGGGCACACTTGCTACAGTGAACGAGAGCACTGATACATACCACACTCTTTGCAAGTTTTAGACTGTCTCCTCTTTATTTTTATATATTGACTATTATTCTTTCTCCTCAAACAGTTCTCACCCTTTTAGTATTCACTCTACCGAGCATTCACTGTACATCCATCTAAGGCTGTGACATTTTTAATCGCGGTTTTGATGTTGCAGTTGCAGTTGATGTGGCTCATGTTGATGTTGCTGCTCCGTAATGCACTCGCTGATGGGATTTTCCTGGGGCGGAGTGGCGCATATGTGAAAAGCCAAGCCAGATGCTGCCACACTGTTTGTGTGAGAAAATTTTCCCCCGTTTCCATAAGTTTTTGCGGCCAGGGGCAACTATTTATAGAGAGAGTGCGAGAGTGAGAGATGCGTGTGAAGCCGCCAGTGTTTTCCCCATTTTCCTTTAGGGGAAGAAGTACCAGCAGCGCACTCAGCGCGACACTTCCCCAGCCAGTTTAGAAACGCATCAATTTCATTTATTTGCCACTTGTGGCATCAACAAACACAGCCACGACACCACAACAATCCCAATTATTCAATTGATTCCGCGGAGCCCAGGGAGAACGTGCATATGTTGACATTGTGTCGCGGCTGCAAAAATGAGATCCGAAATCTTTGTCAGAAATTGTGGCAGCGGAAACGGGCAATTTCACGGCAATTGCAAATGCAACTGCAACATCAGACATATGTACATTTGTAAAACTATATATGAGAGTATATGTACATATATGGAGTTTGACTAGGAAATGCAATTGCTACTCCACATCCGGGAAGTGGCTTTGCTCTACATTTCAATTAGCGCCTTCCCAAGCACACACCCACACTGCCAGCCACACTCAAATCCACACCCATTCGCATAATCGCCGGCAATTGCCTTCAATTTGCGGGCTCAAGTGCGAGTGTCCGCCAGCTACAAGACACAAGACCCAATATACTCGCACAGGGCCTCAGAATTAATGATTTGCTTTGTCAGGCTCGGAACGACGCCAGTTGACAAATGCGTTTCAATTGTTCGCCAACAGCCGCTCAAGGAGAAATGCTCGTGTATCTGCGCAGGCGCACGTCTTTCTTAATATCTGACTCATGTGCAGAGCAAAAAATGAGGGAGTTTTGAAGAAAATTGAAGAAAAAATGTTTTGAAAAGCTGAGTTCTATGAAAGGCTGATATAACCGCCACAATCTTGCATTTTGATAGTAGTAAAAGCGAAAAAGAGTATACAAACAACATTCTTACCTGGTCTTAAGTGACTTAAGATCAACTTTGGGTAATCTAACCTATTTTCAGGTCTCAATTTCTTATTCTATGTTCTCTCAAATGAAGATAGATCTTCTTTAGCTGAAGATATTTAATGGTAAGACCGAAGCATAGTGTACAAACACTTTTTGCTTTTGCAATTTGTGAAATAAAATGACCTTCTTCTGTCAAAAATACCTAGATCTTGATTATACTTATAGAAGTACTTAACACAAAATCAATGACAATTTGTCTTTACAACTAGTTACCTTAAATAAAATCCAAATTTTGTTCCCTATGCGCTCTCCGAATGGAAAGCATCGAAGACTGCATTCGAAATGGAAAGATTAATTTCCCTTTTCGGCCGGAGATGCAGTCGCCACTCGTGTGGCTGTTGCCCTTGTTAATGAGGCGAGCAGTTCGGTTGACTTAAGTGGTTGTGCGGCGGCTGCTGCTTAATGTAAATATCTTGTTGTCTGCCCCCACAAAAACAGACAGCGAGATAGAGAGGGAAAAAAGCCAGAAACACAGCCCAGACATCATGACACATTGATTTGTATCAATCCGCGAAGCGAAACTCGACTCTGGACAGATACTTTCTGCTGCCTGGCCAGATGACAGCTGACTTATTGCTAATTGCAGGAGAGCCTCCAAGGAGTGAAACCCAAACCCAATCCGAGTAGCCCAAAAACAAAACGAAACGGAATGAAATCAGTTCGTCATCGTCGTCTGCCGGGTTTTTGGCGATCGCTTATCTTTTCGACCGGCTGTCAAAATACTTTTAGCGCGGAGTGTGCGCTCCTTACTATGTTGCCTGGCCTGCCTGCTGCCGCTCTCGCTCTTAATGCGAAATCTATTAAGCCCAGGCATCGGGGCCTGCAACTCGGCATATATCTCCAGATATATCTCCTTTTCGCCCGACTTGAAGTGCCCCGTCAATCATTTTTTATTGTGGCCCCAGACATAAACTCATTTCGCCTGCAATGTGGATTGGAATGGCCGCCAACGCCCCGCCAGCGGGTTTTCTTCAGAGGATTGGGATGTGGCTGTGTAGCGGGTGAAAGGGGGGGTTGAGTGTGGGCAGGGGCTAGGGGCGAGGGAACGCAGCTGGCAGCTGATCGAAATCTGCCCACATCAGCAGCATATATAACTGAAGCCGGGTCGGAGCTAAAGCAAAAGCTTTGGCAACGGCAGCCGCGGCAGCAGCGCGAATAATTGGAAAAACGGCTATGGAAATAAACTAAAGTTTGCACTCGTTTCGCATTTCAATTTTTTCTCGGCCAACGGCCACACACTCAGATGCACTGGGAGAAATTTGCCTGATTTTATGTAAAGATAAAGAGTTTAGATTTTGAATAAGTTAAGACAATATAACCTGATGCAAGATTTTAGTTTTTCTATTATTTATAAAAACAAAATCTTTCCAATATCTTACATGTTACCATATTTTCCACTACAAAATCATCTTTAATCTTTGGTTAAGATTAAATATTTATTTGATTATTCCTTTTTTTCTCTGCATTAAGAAGTGCAATCCGATGCAGAGATAATCTGAGAAACAGAAAAACCGGCAGAGCCAAACAAACAAACAAATAAACAAATAGTTTCGAAGCAGAGAATCGGAGAAAAGCCACCATCAGCGATCCCCGAATCGATAACCCGAACCGGGGGAACAGATGGAAACACCAAATGAAAACATTTTCATAAATGCCAAAGAAATCAAAGACGGGGGCTGGCGTTAATTAAACGACATCGAACATAAAATAGCGGCTAGGTTTCAATTCGGATGGAAAAACAGGGGAAAGCAGCTGCCAGCAGCTGACTGGGTTATGCTCTCTGCATAATTAAGCAAATTAAACGCGCATTTTTATGCGTCACGAAGACTAACAGCGCCAGGGAATGGTAGTATTTATACTATATAGGGGCAGGAATCGGGGAGTTGCGGCCTTTTCGCACAGGTATCGCATGCGGCAGCCGCAACAGCAACAGCAGCAGCAGCATCAGGCAATTTATGAATGCCAGGCTTAGGAGTAGTTTCTTCTGCTATCCGACTGCCACACACACACACATCCTCCATGGCCCCCTCGCACCTGGTTACAGTCGCAGCTTATGCAATAAAAATTATATTAAATTACCCAACAGACTCAACGACAAGACAAGCCAATCCTCCAAGATTCAATTCGATTTTATTGAATACTTACGAGCTCAACGAAAGTTGCGAGCTTAAAGAAAGGTGCCTGGATGGCCGAAGATAAAGATACTCTTTGGGAATCATAAAGGGGTTTTTAAATAAAAAACTATACAGGTTAAATATCGAAGTAGCTTAATCACTGCTCTAATAAGGATAATTTACCATTCGTGGTTAGCATTCCTAGAGTATGATTTGCAAATCACTCCCTAACTATAGTCGGTCATCCCTTCCCTCGACAGAGAACCTGGGCGACCAGGATGATAATGATGGCCAGTAGAGAGCTGGAGCTGGAGCTGGAGCTCTCAGCTGCGGCCGCTTAATGCCATCATTAGTCCACCGCCGGCTACCGGATATGGCTGATCGTTTGTCACTACAAAAACTGCAGCTGCCTGGGCAGACTCGCGGATCTTTATCGTGCCCTCGGCCTGCGTCTCCGTAATTGCAATCTAAATTAGTGCACTTTTTATGCGGCTTAACGGAAAAGGCCTTGAGAGGGGCCGCATATGCTTTATTGGCTAAACGAATCGATTTGGAACAAACATGGGTGTTATTGTACAGCCAGATTGGACACGCAGGAGTTGCGAACGCCATAGAGAATGTCATTAGCCTCCGGCAGCTTGCACACCTTGTCCGTGGCCGGGCGGCTGAGTCGCTCAGCCAGGACACTCAGGTCCAATTTATTAACACGCACCATCAGCGTTGGCTCCTTCTCCACGGCGCGGCACACCACGCTCTTCTGGCAGTTGGCCGCCGCGTTGTAGCCGCGCCTGAGAGGAGCATCTGGGAGGACACCAATGGTCTGGGGACCGACATCCGCTCCCACCTGATTGCTGTTGCAGGAGAGGCAAGTCAGACCTGTGTTTATGAATCCTGCTGCCCGCGGGCACTCGTCCTTGTCCTCGAGGAGGTGCAGCCTGCGTTCGAGGTCGTCGAAGCGGTCGCGGATGTACTTCTTCAGCGCCGGCATATGTACCTTGTCCAGCTTGCTGTCCAGCATGTCCTGCAGCTCCTCCATCGTTCCGATAAAGGTCAAGTTGTACTCCTGGACGAGTTTTCTTATGCCTTCGATCTCCACCACACACTGCTTTACCAGCTCCAGGCGCTTGTAGAGCGCCTCAGTTTTCTGCAGGAACTCCTGCAGACTGGCATAGAATTTGTCTAGCTTCCGGCCCATCTGGTCCATCTGGTCGATGATCGGGTTGGCTATGTACCGCATCAGCTTCTTCATAAAGTCAACGTTGGCCAGCAGGCTGCAGGCGATTTTGTTGTCCTCGTCACAGGTGGTGCAGAGATCCTCGCAGGGCGAGGCGTACTGCTCGGCATGGTGGATCCTGAGCTTCTGGTCCTTGGCCTTGTTGCAGATGCGAATCTGCTTAAAATGGCACTCGAGCTTGGTCTCCAGCTGCCGGATGCGCTGCTCCATCAGCTGCACCTTGTCCAGTTGCTCCGAGATGGGCACAATGGACTGCACATCGAAGGCCAGCGGGGAGATCTTGGACTGCTCTAGGATCCGCTCCATGCACTTGCCCTCGAAGCCACTGATACTGACCACGTCCTGCTGGCAGTTGAGTTTCTTGAGGAGCACATTCAGCAGGCTGTGGAGCACGGCCACGTTGGTCTGTGTTAGCTCTGGCACCCCGAGGGCAATCCTGGTCAGCTCCTCCAGCGTCAGTTCAACGTGAACGGGCATTGTGTAACAATAATTATGTGAAATATTTAGAATTAAATGTAACTTCCCCTCGGAAATCTGGTTTGGTAATGTGTATGTCTGTCTATTTCCAGGTGGTTCTGTCACTTTGACGATGACAACTATGTCAATGTACCCAGGCTGGTGAAGCTCCTGGACGAGTATAGTCCCAGCGTGGACTGGTATCTGGGCAAGCCGAGCATCTCGTCGCCGCTGGAGATCCACTTGGACAGCGTAAGTGCAAATGCCTGTTATTTCTGCATATTTTCCTATATAGACTTCGTAATTACAAGTCCCACTGCGATCGATCGCCTTTCTCCATCTTCTGGCCGGGCCCAGCTCGATCCAGCTTGGGCCGCGGCAGGCCGTTATTTATGTGGCCACCATGGCCATTTGTCTATGCCGCCATTTGGCTTCCAGCTGCCAGCGCAAGCTATCATTAATAACCGATATGATCTGGCGCGGCACTAGCAACGGCAGCAGCAGCAGCCCCAATCCCAGTCCGAGTCCCAGTTTGGCTCCGAATTCGAACTTGTTTCTGGTCCGCGCCATTTGAAATATGGCCAGCTGATCCATGCTCCAACGCAATGGCCAGGGTTGGCATGGAACCGTAAGCCTTTAAGCCAACGCTCCACGTAGAGCGCCCTGATCGGAGCTGCATGCATAATTAAGAAAAATAATATGAAAAAACCCCAAACTTTACGCTTCATTTGCGGGAGAGCGAGAGATCCTGTCAGGTCTCGGCTTACGCTTTGGCCAGACCCATGTATTAAGTTTCCACCTCGCACATGTCCATTTACATGGTCAATTAATCAGGCCAGCTTGACTGCTCGCTTTTTTTTCGGCTCAGTTTTCCCTGGGCCATTGCCAAAAACCAGAAAGCAGAGCCAAAAAAGTCGATATTTATTTTAGTTTATCCTTTGGTCCAGTCTTTCTGGGCCATCCTCCATTCATGAGCCAGTTCTTCCGTTAATCTCGTTTCTCCCCTTCCTTTCTTCTCTTTCGGACCAGCAGAAGAACACGACGACCAACAAGAAGATAACCTTCTGGTTCGCCACTGGCGGCGCTGGCTTCTGTCTCAGCCGGGCCCTGACCCTCAAGATGCTGCCCATAGCAGGTGGCGGCAAGTTCATCAGCATCGGCGACAAGATTCGCTTTCCGGACGATGTCACAATGGGCTTCATAATAGGTGAGTTCATTCAAGGATAATACTCTTCTTTAGCTGAAAAATCTTCTGTATTAAAAGAGCCTGATTTTAATATATACTTCTACTCTTTCTTCCATTTACAGAGCACCTGCTCAAGGTTCCGCTGACTGTGGTGGACAACTTCCACTCGCATCTGGAGCCCATGGAGTTCATCCGCCAGGATACGTTCCACGACCAGGTGTCCTTCAGCTATGCGCACATGAAGAACCAGTGGAACGTGATCAAGGTGGACGGCTTCGATCTGAAGACCGATCCCAAGCGCTTCTACTCCCTGCACTGCCAGCTCTTTCCCTACTTCAGCTTCTGCCCGCCCAGATGAGCTGGGTGACCGCGATCCTGATCCGGATCTGGATCCCATTTGGCTGTTGCAGGCGCACGTCTGCCGCCGGATCGGTTGTGAACCGATGGGGCAGGCGTCTAAAAAAATATAACAAATCTCGCCACTGTGATTTAACATTAAGTGTATAAGGTATACGAGTACGAACGGTTCTTTGTGTATATATAGCGGCTTCCAGCTCAACAGATGTGCTTCCTAATGGTCTAAGTTTCACTGTAGCTCTAGGTCTTGCAATCTTCCAACACACTTCCAAGTGCTTCCCTATAGCGTTACACGGCCCTGTTCCGGCCGCCTTAGTTCGTAGGTAAATTAATGGTCTAGTCTATGTTTAAGTTAGCTTAGCTCCAGAGAGACCGCTTGACCCTCTGCTGTGTAATACTGTAATGCAGTCTAATGAATTGGCCTAATGTAGCAATACGCGTGTATATAGTATAGATCTAGGTGCTCAGATCTAACCAAGAAATGTTTAAACAAGTTTGTTAATTTTTAGTTTGCTTGAATAAAACCGAATATATTATTAAAAAATTATACATCTAATGTTTTTATTTCCTAAAGGTAACAGTGATATTTCGATACCTCAGAGTTAACTGAGTTATTTTTAGATAATTGTTAAAAACCCTGTTACAATATGGCTTAACAGTGACATTTTTTTCCTTCCTGGTTAACAGAACTCTTCTCTGCGACTCTCACTGCTAAAATTACTGTTACAATATGGCTTAACAGTATTTTATTCTTACTTTATTGTTTAAAGAGCACTTCTCTGTGATTGTCACTGTTGAGAATAAGTAGAAGTAAGTAACTAATATGACAGCACTTAACAGTATTAAATTGGATCAATAAAATTATAAATTAAGTGCCACTACATTTTCCTAAATTGTGCCTGAAGTCCACCCAGCATGACTAACACTGGCCATTAACAAAGAAAAAAGTACTTTGCATGCCATAGAGCTATTGGGACTTTAAATCCACCTCGAGGGTCCTTGAACTTGGATGTTTTTCGACTTCTTGGCCACATCGATGCTGCTGCGGTTGGCCTGGCTTATCGGCTTCGTGTCAGCGAACATTCTGTCTACTTGTTGTTCGGCCAGCTTCCTGTTACCGCGCACATTTTGCATTTTTGCGAAAATTCGTTGTTAATTAACGCTAAAAGCCATGTTTAAGCCGCTAAAGCGTTAACTTTCAAGCGATATGGATCAGCGACTGTGAGCGACAGAGGTAGATAGACATTGACATGTCCACGTCCACGTCCACATCCACCTCGATGTCCGTGTCCATGTCCTGAGCAGACTATGAACGGTCCGATCCGTTCCAGAGAGTTGAGGGTGCCTCACGATACGGCATCGGATCCAATGACATGTTGCGAATTTTTATAAAAGACTCACTCGACGGCCGTGTCCCCCGGGTATACCCCCTCGACGTGGACTCTCGTGATATGTTAAACAGTTCTGGGCAATTATTTTTTGCCTTCTCGCTGCATCCAGTTTTTAGTTGGCTTATATGCAGATAATCAGTTTTTAGTCCATGTCGGGGCTCAGTTTGGGGCGCGCTTTAATGAATGAAGGAAGGCTGCCTGGAAGCCAAGGAGACCAGGAGGCCCGCCGAGTCTGTCTGTCTGGCAGGAGAACAAGGAGCCGGAGTTGGGACTGACTGCAATTTTTGTGGCTTGTTCGTTTTAATTGCAAGTGAAATCCTTGTCAGCGCTGTCGGGCTGCCTGTCGGCCTGTCTGCCTGTCTGCCCGCCTGGCCGTCTGGGGCATCGTCACAGCATCGATAATGAATTAATTATCATATATTAAAAGTCAGTTTGCAGCCGTGGCCCCACCGATAATCTGCTTTGCCCGGGCACGCCTTTGCATATTTTACGGAACTCCGAATTTAATGAAGTTCGGGAGTCTCGGTGCTCGAAGAGCCGAAATTCCCAGTTGGCTTTGTGGCACACGCATTTCTTTTTGTCGGATTTTCATTCATCACTTCTAACCACAAAGTTGGTGAGTGAGAGATAAAGTCGTAACCAAAATCCAAATCCGAAATTCAGTGGCAATAACAAAGGCACCCGGCATTTTTCACTTCGGCTCGGCACCGCCCACGAATGAGGAGTTAACAGCGGATGGGTTTCTTTTGTCCGAAATCCATTTAATTTGTGGTTGGCTTCGGCCAAGTGATTCATTAGATACAAATTGTGGCGACTCCCCCGAGCCCGGTTCTCATGCTCTCGATTTATGCAAAATCATAATTTTAATTGAATCTCTCTTGTGGGTATTTGGGCAAAGGATTTGGTATCGTCTTAGTAGTCGAAAGCAAGTGTTCGCGCAGTAAGCCTTGTATTTTCAGGGGTCTTTTCTGGAGCCTCATTTGTATGCAGAGCCGTCGACCAGGCGCAAATTACACGAGAAAATGGCCGAAACAAGGCGATCGGGCGATAAGGAACGCAAAGTATCTCGAAGATGCGCAGGCCTGGCCATGTCCCGGTATTAGTATCTGATGCTTATCGTCGCCCAGCCTTGTCAACTCTTGGGTTTGCATTCAGTTTTGGCTGCCAGCGAAATGCCGAGGCCAAAATCAAATCGCATCGCCAAACCAGTAGCCGCCGAAAAAGGCTGCCAACGCAGGCAAGCAAATAATTTGTCCGTCTGGTGGAGTGTCCTCGCGGCCTGTCAGTCTTTCACTCGCTCAGTATTTCAGTACAAGTATCCCAGTATTCCAGTCCCCTTGCCTACCTGGCTGCCGCCTGTCAGTCACCCGGCTAGTCCGCAAACTATAAATTAGTGCAGCAGCAGGAGCCCCCAAAGAGATGGAGATGGAGCTGGGCTTTGGGTCTCCAACACCCAAGTGAGCCAGCCCCTGAATTTATGTTGTGCATGGCAGTGATCGGGGCGTGGATGCGGAATGGGGTTTGCTATTCCAGCACCGGCACCATCACCAGCTTCGCCATCGCCATCAGTTCAGCATCAGCAACAGGTGAAACGACTAGCAGACTAGATCAACTGCCAGGTGCTACCCTGTACCCTATATTCGGAAGGGTATATGGTTGAGTGAGGTGCTAAAAAAGAAAAACACTAAAATATAAAATATTTATATTTAAGCCTAAATAACATATATGAGAAACAGAATTATACTCAGCACTTCTAACTGTTAGTAGCTAAGTGGAGATATTTTCAAGGAATCTTTATGTCCTTATGTTTTGTATGATTAATTTTATTAAACTAAATTCCTTTTATATTTAAGTTACAATTTTAACAACTCCAAAAACAAATTAGATACATTGTAAACACTCTCCCAACTAGAAATTGAGGTTACTTCCAGGGTAACTCCTGCTCCTTCTACCCCTACAACTTGCAGTGAAATATGCTCCTCTGTCTATAATTGGAAATGTGAGGCAGCGAAATGAACTCGGCTGCAGTTGCTGCTGCCAACCTGCTCATAATTTAAAGCTGCCGTTGCAGTTTATGGCCCCAACTTGGCTAAATTATGTGTAGCCTCGCAGCTCTTTTCCAGGAGGGGTTTTTCACGAGGGGTCGGAGCATGGAGGAAAGGATTTCTTTTGCGATCGCAGATCGCC